AAATAAATCTTATCCGGATATTAATGTACACAGCTAATTCATCGATTCTGTAAAGCAGAAATCCTTACCCTCTCATACTGCTTTTAAGCTTAGAGCTGAGCCTGAAAACATACTTCTCTCGCATCGGATGAATTCTCCTCTTATAGGCCATTATATGGAGCAGACAGCAACCCTAGGCCTCCCACCCGACAACTAGTCTACAACAACCTGCTCACCAATATATTTATGTAGAAGAGGGCAGTTATTCAGGGTTAATCCATAGGAAAACTAGACTAGTTTCGGTTTCTTTAAAATTATCACGGTAAGCATAACTCCAGGATTAAAGTAAGTATATAATTTATCAATCTGACTTGTCGACAAGACTCGAGGTAAAAGGCAAAATAACTGTTACAAAAACTTTCGACTGTTGCACATGAAACCGATATGGAAGCCAAAACTGTAAAAATGATAGTACGGAAGTGTTAGGGCCAATGCGAAAAGAAAAAAATGCAAATTTAAATGTTGCTGACGACCTAGCTTGCGGACCGTGTCCAACCTCTTCTCACGATTGCGTTTCCAACTTACAGTTTTGACGGCCATAAAAGCGTGACGGCTCGTACATGACTATTTTTGTCAAGCCGTTATTTACTGTTAGTGTATTACAGAATGTTTTGAAATTTTGTGGAAAAAACACAAAGGCTTGCGCTACTTTTCGAGGAGACTCTTAGAGTTGAGCTTTACTTTTCATCTTGTTAAAGACAACTGAGAGATCCCCCTTAACACAACAACTTTTCGTATTTTCAGATGAAGAACATTTGATTTGTTTTTCTTAGAAATCTCGTGATTTTGCGTACTTGTGATTTCGTTACCAAGTTTAGATACGCTGTAACGCATGTCCTCCTTGCGTAATCAACATGAAAATATTTTCAAAAGACCAAAATATCATGCAAGGTTCCTTGGCTCATTTTATTTTTGTGTAATTAAACGTTAATCCAGAACAGTTTTGTCCAGTGTACTATGTACATTGTAACATAAATAGACAACTGCAGACAACTGCAGTTTGTATACGAAACAAAGTAGCGATTGTAGCAGTTAACATTCGTTCTCGTACTCATACTCCTTGACGTCAGTGACATATTTAGTTGGGAGAGGGGGAAACAGTGCAATTGTTGTATTTCATGCGACCTTGTTCGTCTAACCCACCTGTAAGAGAACTGCCCAGAATTAAAGAATATTTTGTATTTTGCCTGAGGTGACTAATGGTGATTGTTAACGAGTATTCGTACTAGTGAATCCAGATAATATCTGGAACGACCTCGTTCACATGAGCACTGACAGAGCATAAGAGTTGAATTTTAGGTTCAAGAAAGTTTTGAAAAAAAAATATAATGACATCAAGGAATTTTTATTTGAGGCTATCATCATTTACCAGCTGTGTATAGAATTTTGCGACTGTTATACTGTGTCCAGCATCATGAAAGACATTGTTCATCGCAGATAATGTGTATAAAAGGTTGTTCGTTTGTCGCTTGTCTCACGGTACGATTATCACTTAGACATTGATCGCCACGTTTTGACCGCGTATATACTGCCGGTCTTCAATCAGGCGATTAGTGTCGATTTACAGGGTAGAACTATTTGTACGACCGTGGCTGTTAGTGATTGGTATATTATGAACCTCGCATGGTTGGCATTATTAGAGGAGAACACTGTTCCCTCAGCGGTCCTTCGTTGTTTTGCATCCATTTCACTTTAGCAAGCTACTCTTAGACACCTTGTTCATGCAATACCGCATAGCTTTTCGTGCCGACACGAAGAACTATCCGTTATAGTGTGAACACGACTATCCGAAGGTCGATCTCCACTTTAGGGACAGACCATTAGAAATGTTATGGGGGAGGGGGGGGGGGCGATTTTTGAGCCGTAGAAATTTTTTTCGTTATCAAATTGTAGGAATTTTCTTTAGACTGTAGCATGAATATTTTTTAGGGTTAATTAGCGTGCATGAATTTTTTTCATTTCATTTTCCCTTGCGCGAATATGTTTTTTGTACTTCGTACCCCCCCCCTCCGATAAAGTTTCTAATGGTCTGTCCCTTAGAGATCTTGGCGCAGCTTCGCAAAAAAGTTACAGAAATTGTTCCGAAATCACTGTTGTTGTGTGTGAACAGTAGGCCTTTCCGGTATGGTTTTAGTGCCGGCTCAAAAGCGATCCGGTTTAGAGACTGTTTACCTGGAGGTGGGCGACCCCAGATAGGTGAGGTAAACCTGGCGGGTCACTCCACCTATCAAGTAAACGTGATCAAATTAAAATGAGAGACTATATGGACAGAAGGGTTACCCCACCTAAATAAGCGGTTTACCTCAACTACCTGAGGTCCCCCACCTCCATGTAAACATTCTCAGCCCTTATTGTGATTCATCGTTTGCACATCTTCCATTGTACACCTCTCCCAAGAAAATTTGAAAACAACGCGTGCGCAATTTTTATTTTGCAAAAAGTGTACTTTTAAATTACAAGCTGAGTAACAATTTATTTGAAGTCTTGAATTTCTAATACTTCAGTGTCATCATCCACTTTTCTTCTGGCCAATCAAACCTAATCTATTACGACATTAACAAACCGAGTGAGAAAATTATGTAAACGGATTCGTAGCCCACTGACATATACACTGTAAATAAAATTACAACTTATTCTTCCAACAATTTTTTTTTTCTGGGAACAAAGTCGCAAATCAGTAGACAATTTATTTAATTGTAATTTAGCAACTCAACGGCTGTCCACACATTACCTAAACCCAATAGGCATTGCGTAGTGTCCATCTGAATTTCTTATATATTTGTCAGGAGTCTGTACGAACTTTGGTCCATGCTTTTATCATTGGTCGTATAGATTACTGAAACAGCCTTCTATTTGGTTTACCCTCTATTCATCTACTTAAACTGCAACGCTTGCAGAATGCAGCTGCTCGGCTTATATCTAATGTCCCTCGCTACAGTCACATAACACCAGTACTTTGTTCGTTACATTGGCTTCCTGTCAAATTTCGTATTGATTTTAAAATACTTGTTTTTACTTTTAAAGCAACCTACGGTCATGCGCCTGGTTATTTGATCGAGTTGATTGCTATTAAAGAACAGCCGCGCTATAACCTCCGTTCAGCTAGCGGTCTTATCTTAAAGTATCCTTGTTTAAAACTGAAAAAGACTTTAGGGGATCGTGCTTTTTCACCTGCTGCCCCTAATTTATGGAACAATCTGCCCCTTCACATCCGTCTTGAGGACAATTTTGAACATTTTAAATCTTTACTTAAAACGCATCTTTTTAGACTAGCTTTTGATATGTAATTTTTTTTACCTACTATGTAATATATTTAGTGTTTTTTATCTTTATGTAATTTTTAGCGTTGTTTATTCTTAGCCTTAATTATTTTGCTCATTTTAGTTTCTTTTTCTTTTAACATTTACGTGTTGTCACGCGCTTTTGATCATATTTGCATGGAAAAGGCGCGTTATAAATTTTTAATTATTATTAATTATTATTATTACTTTGGAAGAAAATGAAGAATCACCAGATTTCTTGCTTGAAATGCCTGGTGTTATAGCAAGCGTAGATAAAACAAGAAAAGCCCGAGATTGCATGATGCAAATGAAAACGTGGGTAAAATATTTTTTTGCACAGTACGTGAGGTTTTTAGGTAGCACGTTTTTTTTGACCATTTTACTTTCAGTGGACCAAACTGACTTTCGAAATTATTTCCGATGGTAATGACTTACTTTTAATTAAAATTAACTTAAACGTGCTCTCTTTTAGTGAAATCTTTACCATTCAATCAAGGACAATTCAATTTCTTTCAAATTTTCCTTCAGCTTCCCGGCCTATTTTCGGAAGTTTTGTTTTAAATAAAGTCACTGTTTCGCTATGACCATGCAGCTTGTAGTTTATATGACAATTCGCTTCAAATAAAAATACGTTATATTTCCTTAACTCTATGGTTAGAATTTGAATCTGATGCTAGTTCATACGTAAAATTTGTTTTGGCAACACATATGTTCAATATGTATTTGTAAAGCCTTCATAGCATTATATTACAAGCACTTTTCTCCGGACGTGCAATCCAATCGTTCCATCCTTTAATCTATTTAAAGTAATCTAGGGTGCAATATTGCTCGAGAATAATAGATGTTCATTGTATTGGTACGCGATTTCGGATAAAAAATATCGTGCTTGTTATGATCACTTTTGTAACGTAAGGACTTTTAAATCGAGAGAATTACACGACGGTTATCGGAAACTACAAGCTTCTGATTTAATCGTTTTTTTTTTCTGGCCGGAAAAAATAATCTGCCATTAAATGATGTGGGAAAAGTAAACAGATTCTAAATTTGTTGGTGTAGAGTGAGCAAATCTTTGATTTTGAATTAAAGCTGGTAACCATGAACAATTGAATCACTGAATCATCCTGTCAGATCAAAAATGATAAGTCAGATCTCATTAATATCCGGTACTCTTTAAGAAAATAGGGAATATAAAATCGGATTTTATGCTGCCTATAGGTTTTCAGTTATGGTAGACTATATAACCTTGCAGGAGTCAATTTATAACAGATTTCATCCGATATCTATCGCTGGAACTGACGTATCAAACCTGACGTTCAAACATAATTTGCCCAATTTGGTACTGACTTTCCGAAGAGTAAGCCCAGATTTGTAAAAAATTATTGATCCCTTTGGTTTCTTTTCTGTTAGATAATTTTTGGTATGTGCGATCAAAGCAAATTATAACTGTAACAGACCTCGACGGTGCTGATACTGCTTATCCAAGGAAACTAAATACGACTGGACTCAATTGCAGCAGCCAGTCAGACTGGCACAAATTCACCACTTAATAGAAAACTAAAAGCGAAAAGCTAAGACTTTCAATCAAGACACGGAACACAGCTGACAGGTGTGTTAATTGTCTGTCAGCAGCCTATAAAAAGGGCAAGAAATCCATACTTGTTGAGTACGAAAGGGACATTTATGGCAAATTTTACAAGTAACCATACGCAAACGTCCGGGCGTGTTTTGCTCGAGCCCCTGGATACTTGGTACTGGGTGATTCGAGGAATCATCGCCATTTTAACCATTACAGGTAACGGACTCGTCATTTATCTCATCGTTTCCAAGCGGCGACTATGGGCGACAAACAACTGGTTTGTGTTGTCATTAGCTGTTGCTGACTTTTGCGTCGGTTTGTTCATCACAACCACTGGAGCCGCGTGCACATTCCATTTCAGATGCGACTGGCGCTTACAGCTTGTATTTTACAACTTCTTCTTATTTTCCAGCACAACTAATCTGTGGACAGTGGCAATCGATAGATATATTGGGATTGTCTACTCTTTGAGATACAGATCACTCATGACGAACACGCGAGTCGTTTTAGCGGTGGCAGCATCGTGGAGTACGTCTTTCGTTGCAGCATTCGTGCGCCTACTATGGTTGCATGACCAACAACTCTATCGAGCTATTGATAAGTACTATCGCGTGATTGCAGATTTCTTCCTTGGAGCTGTATCATGCGTAGTACTCACATTTATTTATCTTCGCGTCTTGCTGATTTCAAGGAGTATAGCGAAAAAAATAGTCGCGCAAGCAAATGAAATCACCCATAACTACAAACCAAATAATGTACGGTCTAAAAGGCATGCTCGACTCAATTTATCAACAAAGTTTTTTGGCTCTTTGGTTTTACTATTTGTTGTTTGCAACAGTGTTAGCATCTACATTTCACTCTGCAAAATTTTCAAGGTTGGCTATCTCAATCCTACAATCTCCACTCTCGCGTATTTGCTCGTCCACTGTAACTCTGCCATGAATTTTGCTGCCTACGCGTTCATGAAAAGAGACATTCGCCGGGAACTACGACGCAAGTACCGCTTTTCTCAGTTTGTGGAATTAAGCTACCTGTCTCGAGGAGAATTGACCTTAACGAGAGGCACCCAATGACGTTTCTCTGTCAAATAACTGAAGTAGCAAATAAGTATTGCCTACTAGAGAGATTTTAGATCATTCTAAAGGTTGAGAAAGGCTACACATTTCTGATAACCGTTTTACACTTCTTAGATTTTCGTTTTTGTTTTACTAACCGACAGTGTATCTATAATATCACAGAGTCTGTGTTTTTATCATTTTATGTCCAAGATATTGCGATTATGATTGTTAAAAAAGGGTGACTGTACTCACTGAACAAGGTAGCTGACATTTTCGGATGAGCTGGAGACAAAAAAGCCTTAGGCGTCCAATGCGACGAAAGTTCCCCTAAGACATGCATCCAAACAAATGAATTGTTGTAGAGGAAATCCAAATTACCCAAACAGGCTTCTAAAGCATAAATAAAACTTTGCACTTCTGGCTTTTTAGAAACATTTGGTCGTTGGGTGCCCCTGCCTACCCAAGTGCTGAGTTACATCCACAAGACGGACTCAAGAGAGTTTCACCTGACTGTTGCATGTCTAATCCAGGGGAACTGATTTGTCTCTTCCATTATCATTAAAAATTGTTTCAGCTCTGCAAGAAAATAATTAAAGTAGAAGTCGCAAACTTCGAAACTTCATTGATCTTTGCACAAAACAGAGCTTAACTAATGGCTTGAAGTTGGAGATATCTTTTCAGGATACCGTTCCACTTATTATTTAGTTTCCTTCTGATCTTCACAAGACCTAATGCACTTAGTCTGAAAACGCAGTGACCTATTAACGAAGAGATGCGTCCGAGAGTCAGGGGCCTACGAGCTTTATAAGGTCAAAATCAGTTTCTATTCAACTTATATAGAAAAAAAAAGTGATTATGCCATAAACATGCATGAGCACCTCTGTGGTCTTTGGAGGAACTGGTGGGTAAAAGATGTTTTCTTGAACGAAAGGTATAAAATTCGTTCAATCTCACTGAGATTTCGTAATATGTGAAAAAGAGAAAGACGACACGAAATAGAGGCAAGAGTGAGTACAGGCGAGACTAAAAGTTAATACAGCTGAAAATACTAACTACTAAGTGACATGTAGAATACATAAATAAATTTCAGTTTTTTAATTTTCAATTTTAATTTCGGAGTTTGCCGTCCATCTTCAATAAAATAAAAGTTATTTTTATTAACTGAGCGATTTCTGGAGCACTGATTGGTGGAGAGCTACTTCATGTTCGATAAGAGTACTTTCAGTAAGAGCATGGAAGTCTTTCTATTATCCATGGTAAGAGAGCATGGAAATGATGCTTGTGTATGTCATTGTGATGGTTGCGCAATTTGTTTTTCTCTTTCTTGCGGGCAAGACGTCAAAACCGTCAATATTATTATATAAAAACACAAATCGACAACAATTTTCCATGGTCTGTACTCTTCTCGATTATAGAAATGACGGCAAACTTTGCAGTGAAAGCAAACCTCGCTCTTCGAGTCAACATTCAATGCAAAGAATTTATTATTAGAAAATAAGTGCAGTGCCAAATATACCACAAAGCCCTTTTTTTCTTTCAAAGGCATCTCCAATCTAACTGTGCAACCAATGCTTTTTTATTTTTCTGCTCATCCTTTCTTTCTCTTTGCTCTTCCATTTTTTCTATTCTTCTCCTTCGCTAGCGTGATTTTCTGGATTGTTGGACGCCAGAACAAAACCCTGCCTTATGGCCCTTTTCTACTCAAATGGCTGCAAATTTCGCTCGCCGTACTCTTTCAAAAAACCGTCTAGAACTATATACAAAGCAAAGTGATAAGCTTGATGTTACAAACATGAAGAGCGCCCTGTCAGTAAAAGTCAAACATATCGCGACAAGGGAGGAAAATTCGATTTTTCCCATATTTTAATGTTAGATAGGCTAGGGTATAACTAAAATCACTGAATGTTTTTTTTTTAGTGAAATATCCTTTTATTTCAGAGAGAAATGCAAATATCCAAAATCCGTTGAAATCGCCATTTGAGGTGGTCAGTTATTACGTGGGTTTGAATTCAAAGCCTTGCGTGCAAAAACCGATTATTATTAAAACATCACAGCCTTCTTTTACATCTTCTAAATATCTGTTAATTTGGGGAGTTACTGCTCTGTTTTTTGTATACAAAACAATTTAATTTCGAAGGCATACAATTTACTTCAGTAAAAGTTAAAAACAGTAAAAGTAAAAAACATAATTTTCACCGCGTGCGAAACCTTCAAATCGATTAAGCTGCAGGTGGTTGAATGTTAGAAGGATGGTCTACAGATTTCTCTAAAAATTTCTTTGGGCAAATGATTACTATCCACGCGAGAGCTTTACAAAATCTATAAATTTCTTTCATCCTTCCTTCGGGATGAAACTGACGAGCTTTAAATACTACGCACGCTCTGATTGACCAAGCGTTGTGTTTGCAAGAGGGTTTGTAGTAATGACGAAACGATCTTTCTCGGTGCGTGCGCTATTTAACGGGCAATCAATTCGCTCTTTATCTTCGAGATTTTCCTCGTCATTAATAAGCAGATCGTCCCATTCCTCCTGTATTCCTTCTACTTAAGAAAGTTACAGGGAGGAGAGACGGGCGCTTATTCGATAGGGACGCTTGTTTGATATTTTGGCCAACGCGGTAAACCCTTATTCGGGGGCGGGCGCTTATTAGAGCGTGGGGCCTTATAGAGGAAATACGGTACACAGATGTGTAACAGGGTAAATAAAAAAAAGTTAAAATGAACGCACGGGACAGACCACCAAACGTGTTAAGATGCATTTAGCCAAAATAGAAATACCGTTTGTTAAAAGGAAAAGTTAATAAGCGCCTCCCTTATTAAGCGCCCCCCTTTCCTATAAGCACCTCTCCTTTTAGCCGAGCTGGGGCGCTTGTGCGAGGAAATACGGTTCATAGCTTGCGAAATACCGTAAAATTCCGAAAATAAGCCCCGGGGCTTATATTTTTCAAAGGCCCTTTTTGAGGGCTTATTTTTGGAGGGGCTTATATTCGGGATGGCTTATCTACGGAGGGAAATTTGCGTTTCAAAATCGATTGGGCTAGCCTTATAGTTGGAAGTAAATTTATCGTTTTTGCTTTCTTTTACTTTGTATTTGAGGGTAATTTTCTAAGTACAAGCCCCCGGGGGCTTATATTTGGAGGGGCGATTTAACGGAAGGCTTTATGCGTTATCGGTTTGGGGGGCTTATATTTGGAGGGACTTATACATTGACGAGCTTTTTTTAGGAATTCTACGGTATAACGAAGTTTTGAAGAGCTGCCTCGTAACACCACTACTACTATGATTCTAATTAAGAGGAGGGTTGGGAAATGACCTTAATGCCAGAGGTCCGTAGACTAAGATTGCATGCTTACCTTAGAGTTTGTTCTACAGAATTGCAGCTGCAGCCTTGTACTCAATTCTTCAACAGCTCCAAGTACGGCTTCTTTCGGCAGTTTATGGAACTGATAACGGTCCTGATACCGTTAAATAAAATCACCCAGTCCGAGAGCATGTGAAAAAACAAAATGACCAGTATTTAGATTTAACAGGGAAAGACCGTGTCTAAGGGTATCACTATCTTAAGCTATAGATTGTCTTTATTCACTCTATACCGGAGAGCTTTTGTGCAGGCACAAAAAGAAAGCATACAGGATAGGGCTTCTGTTCACGCAAAGAAGGGTGAGTTCGGCCCGAAAAAGCAAAGCTGCGACGCGCCGATCTCCTAAACAGGAGACAGTCACATACCGGATAGGTGTTCATACTTTACCGGATAGTTTTTTGTGTCTGCATGAAAAGATATTCATTATAGGGTGAACTTAGCCTTAATTATTGTTGTTGTTCTCGTTGTGGCCGTTTGCTATTTCACCCTTCTCTACCCCTCTAAATTGGATTGCGTGACTCACAAACGGCTGCCCGCAATTCAAGGTGTGAACACTGGCATTTTTGTGTCATTCTGTGTCATTCTGCAATCAGAAGTAATATCCGGTAATATTTTAGATACTACATTCTAAGCAATGTTTAACAAATGACTGAGCGGTCGAAAAAGACGCAGTCCTAATGAAAGCTCCGAAAGTAGCCTCCCACGCAGTCGTTCTTAGGGGTTCGTCACGCGTTCCTGCCCCACGGACGTCTGCTGAACCGAAAGATAAATTCCTTTCCCATTGTTCGCAATATCAACTGGAGATCACATGCAGATTATCGGAGATCCAATTGGCGCTGTTGAAGTCAAAGTGTTCAAGCCAAACACATAGGTACAAGCTCTGTAGAGAGAGATACGTGACCAAAGATTTTTGCTGCGGACGAGAATCTAGGAGATAAGCGTTGGGTTTTTGTAGATTCCTCTCTGCAAAGGCTGGATTAGATGTTTGCTCGTAAAGTTGTTCTTTGGGTGATGCAACGGCGGGATTGCCTTGTAAGACTGAATAAAAGACAGAATTACTTTTCACACGTAATTGTTTTGTAGTAAAGCCGACTTCCGTTCAGCAAATTTAACCTTCGAGGTGATTTTTCTCAATGAGATTGTGAGGGTTACCACCAGTACGAACACTTGTGAGTTAACTGAGTAGTATGTTCTAAAACTGTAAGGTCTTCACCTTTCATGAGACCTTTCTGTTCTTTTCTGTAGCCATAAAGTCAAGCGCGAAATTCTCAAGGTCCAAAGTGCACTTCCCAGAGCTGGAAGTCTGCTGTGATTGGTCTACGTTTTTTTCCTGCTCAAGTCAGCAGACGTTCGTGGGGCAGAAACGCGTGACGAACCCCTAAGAAGGTCTGAGTGGGAGGCTACCCCGAAAGTTGATCAAAGAATTGTATTCGTCCTGTGAATACGTTGACAGTTGGAGCTGAGTACAATTACACGTTACAAGACAAAGCTCAAACGACTCGATAATCGGGCTAAAATGGCCTTTGGACTCGTCTTTTACAGCAGTTTTTTAAGGTAAGAACATTTCAGGACGGTTTCCTATCTGCTTATTTTAATTTACTGTGGGTTTAGACAAGTGAAG